TTTGCTTTCAAAATATACTTTTTCCAATAGCAAAATTTAATATTTTTATGCATTAGAGTTTTTGATATTTAAAACAATTTAGAAATAATTATTTTATTTGTTAAATTGTCGTTTAAAAATCGTTAAATGACTAAATTAAAAGTGAGTAATAAAAATTAATAATTAAATACTTTTGTGAATCTACAAAGTCAACTATGAAGAAATCTCACGCTGGTCAATATAAAAACTTTCTTCTCATAAATAAGCCCAGTAAAAAGTTCAAATTTTAAAATAAAAACTTGTTTTCACGTGTATCGTAAGAGATTTTAATTTAATCGCAAGTATTTATGTATTTCTTTCTAATTCTAATTTTCTGTGGAATAGGTGAATTGAGTATAATAGCATAAAATACAAAAACTATGGCATTTATTCTATATTAAACGTTAATAAATGCTTTGAACAAATTGTATTTTTTTAGTTTACTTTATAATTATATTCCGATAACACATACAATGGCACTTTTGTAATAAATTATTCAATTTTAATAAAACAAATACTTTGTAAAAGTATATTTATATTCTCTATGAGTATATTTAAATCGAGAGTTTCTATAATTTTACTTAACTCATCAATGATTTGTGCATGCACCCACAAAATTTATCATTCACGATTTAATAATGGGATGTATTTAATTTATTAAAGCATCTGCTACATTCAGAAAGTTGTAAATACATACTTGATTTGCGTAATACATTAATAATTTTATACGAGTATATTTAACTTCCCGTAGGGAAGCTATAGTTATCGCAAAAAAATCGAAAATGAAAATTTTTATATATCTTTACGTTTCAAAGGTTTCTGAATATTTTGGTATACCTTAGAAAAAATGGATTTGAATAATTCAAAAAACATTCGATTCGTATTGATAAGGAGACGTGCTGATTAGTTTTTGGCGAAGGCAGGTCTAGCCGTTCCGAAGATACGGAGCAAAAAGTGCCAAAAATGGTAACAGTTTTTAGGAGAACGGAGCGTGCGATTTTAATAATTCAAAAAACATTTCACTTGTATTGATAAGATGAAGAATTGATCAAATTTTTATGAAGGCAGGTTTGGCGGTTTCGGAGATCTAATGAAAAAAGTAAAAAAAAATGCTATTTGGCGGTCAAAAATGATCATTAGACATATGCACATCAAATTATCAGATATTTTATAGAGATTTTAACAATAAGTATAATTTTTTTTACATTTCTCTGGGTTCCGTACCAATGCTTATTCCTTAGACGGCGGCGCGGCACTTACGCGCTATGCAGTTCAAGCAGTACGATTGCTTTGAAAAAAAGTTCAGAATTTCCAAAACATGTCAAAATGAAGAAAACATTATTTTTTCAAAAAAAAATTTTGTTTTAAAAAAAAAATTTTTTTTTTCAAAAAAAAGTAATTTTTTGACAAATTTATAGTTTCTCAAAAATCTAATTTTTTCAGAGTCATTTTTTTTCAAAAATGTTAATCGTTTTTAAAAAAATAATAATTTTTGGTACTGGAAGTTCCAGCAATTTGCCTTAAGGCACGATGCCATGCGCCCCACTAGTTTAATCATTGTACAATCTTTCTTACTAACTATAATAATTATAAAAGTAAATCTGTTTTACAAATGTTTTTAAGCTCTGAACGAATGTGTGTAACCGTGAAACGAATCCGCTAAATAGTAAATAGTAAACGGTTCTACGATTCTACGATTGTCACGGACAATGGCCGCGACCGATATCGCACGGACACGTAAACGACTAACACCTGAATATCAATCATTCGCGTACCAAAATAAAAGGTACAAGGCGCGCAGTGAAAGCGCAATTTCTCAAACGAGAATCCAGAGTCAATCACTGCCGAGATTGTATAAAACCGAACCACACTGGTAATTGAACCGGCCGGGACGGGTCAAAGCAATTCGATATTTTTTATACTACTTTATGTTATCGTTTCGCAGACAATTTTTGTAGGTTTGTAGTGTTTTTTTCTTTTCATATCTCATATTAAATATTCATTTTTATAGAGCATGTTCCATATATACACAAATATTCGTAATAATATGTAAATTAAATCGTAAAATTGTACTAATGATCAGCAATAATGTTCTTAATTTATCATTTAGCTAGGAAAAAAGTAAATTGAATGCTAATTTGAACATTTGACTACGTGGAAATACTAAAATATTGGCTTTATATACGATGGATTTGTCATAAAATCAAATCATACAAAAAAGGGCGAGTGTCACAACCGTCCACACTCGAACTAACGCAAATAGCTATACACACCCAAATGGTTTAAAACAGTTTGATTCACATGACAGGGATCTTTGGTTCGAATCCTGTCATTGACTTAGAATTTGTGAAAAAATATATGTAGTTAATTTAAAATTAAATATAAATTGTATTCGTTAAGTAGAATTTGAATAAAAATTAATAAAAGTAGAAAGAACAGAGTTCGAATAGCTGAATTGTATAAGGAAGAAAAAAAAATTGGAACTTGCTGAAATTAAAAGAAGAATGAAGAACAAAATAGAATGAAGATAGAAGTTGAATAGAATTAAAAATTTGAAAAGAGCAAAAATAAAAGTAAATAAGAAAAAGAAAAATTAAGAAGAATATAGAAAAGGATATATATATATATATATATATATATATATATATAGATTGAATACTATATAAAAAATAGTATAGAATGTAAATAAATAAAAATGTTGTAGATGGCTAAATGGTCAGAGTAAGCGAGGGCAAAATTATGAAAAACACGTTTTTTTATTTTAACGCACACTTTTGAAAGCAAATCATTATTACGACTGAGCTAAATTATTTAAGTAGAAAATAATTGCTGTTAAATAACTACTAATGTTCCATTTACAATAAAATAAAATAACAAAGTGTGATTTATATGTATACAATTAACAGTTATTATTAAAAGAATTCTGCAGTCTACAAATCATATTAATGTAAGGCACTGATTGCATGCAATAATGGGAATTTGTTCGAACGATCATACTTCATCTTAATCCTTTTGGACCCTTTCTTAAAATCAGTATAGTTTAGATGTTATGACGACTGTCACTACCGTACTCAGTCAGTCTCCACCATTAATAATTCTAGAACTCATGAATTGCCTATACACCCAGGCCTCGCTATACGGCCGCTCTTTATACGGCCTTTCGCTATAACGGCCCTCTTTAATTAAGGAACGTTTTCGATATACGGCCTAAAATGTTTCGCTATAACGGCTTTTTTAAATTCCCGTAGCGCAAGTTATAGTAATCGCAAAAAAATCGAAAATGAAAATTTTTATATATCTTTACGTTTCAAAGGTTCAAACGTTTTGGAAAAACTATAATATCAAGGATGCTGTTGAGAACATTAGTGAATCCTGGAAGGAATTGAAATCGACAACAATGAATCATGTTTGGAAAAGAAATATGGCCAGAATGTATAAAAACTACCGATGCAGAAGTTAATTTCCTTCCTGAAGTTAGACAAAACATTTTGGATTTAGCACATGATCTCGGTTTTGAAGATTTAAACGAATCTGATGTGCTGGATCTACTTGCAGCTAATCAGTTGCAAGCAGAGCCGGCAATTGATGAAGATACAGAACCTGTTGTATCCAAACAGCTAACATCAAAAATCATGTCGAGCGCTTTTTCATATTTTGAACAAGGAATAACATCTTCCTTGAAAACGATCCTGACGTCGAACGTAGCGCTAATGTCTCTCGAGGAATCAACTCAGGCATTGCTGTTATAAATCACAAATCAATCACATCATCTAAATTTTTCAAACCACCAGCGCAAAATGATGGTGACAGTGGTCTGTATTTAAAAATTATGGAATGTTTTTGAAGTTTTTTATTTTATGTAAAATTTATGTTCTTGTTAAATATGTTTATAATTTAAACAAAATAAAAAAATAAAATGCATTTTGAATGATAAACCATATTATATATTTATTAAATTTGGAACCGATCCCATTGAATTTGTATGAATACGTATTAGAATAATTGATTCGTTATACGGCTTTTCGCTTTACGGCCAAGTTTTGCGGAACGTATCTAGGCCGTAAAGCGAGGCCCCAGTGTATTTTTATACTACACGATATCAACCCATTCAATAATTCATACATGTTACAACTCTATATTGAGTGAGTAAGTTAAAGTATGTACAGAGTTGTTGAAGAGAAACTGAACCAACGTCTCTCGCTCTCTATTTATGTATCTCTATGTAACATCTCTATTTATGTATAATATTATGACACATAAAAATATTTATAAACCACTTAACCTCTAATTATATCCATGTGTGCTGTTCTATAATATTTATTTATTATGGAATCAAGATAATAATTTGAGTTTCAACATCTCCAATCAAATAAATATTTTACTGCAAAATTAATTTTGATTCCATGATAAATAGGATTTAATTAAATATTAAGTGGTTTATAAATATTCTTATGTGTCATAATATTTGAGTACGAATACTATACAGATGGCGCAAGAATTTACTTAATGACGTATGTTAATAACAAATATAAGAAACTTTCAATTGGCGTGCGCTCTATATAAATGTTTTTATTAAGAGCTAATACTATTGGAGATTCATTTTTTATTATATACATATATATATATATATATATATATATATATATATATATATATTGTACAAGTTTTAGTTGAAAAGTTTCTTTTAAAAATCATTTCAACCATATGCATAAATTTACTGTTAAACTTTTTCATAGCTCATACCATATACCATGTATGATGAACAAATAAATAATTTATCGGGCAAAACAATTAAAATAAACAGTGCCTTATGAGATGATCTACATACTCGTCACGGTTTACACAATAGATCCCGTAATAATAGCAGTCTGCTTGTTTATATACATGTGGAAAAATATAATTGATACTAATTATAAAATGAACTGTATTTAAATGAAATAGTTTTAGTTGGTTATGATTATGATTATGTTGATAATAATTACCTGATATGGTGGTATTGGCAAGCACACGGTCGCCGAATCTCATTGACAGTGCCATATTGTCGCCGTTGAGATATTGGAAAGTAGCACAACCTAGAACCATAAAATTTGTATCAATGAATTAATTATTCAGTCATTTTAAGTAAGAAAATATTATTAATTATTAGTTTCTTTGCGAAGTAATAAAGAGTAACATAAACTACAAACATTACAGAACAACTTAAAATGCAATTACAATAGTTACCCCAAAGGAGCGATTCGTTGCTATGTCATACAAGCAAAATTGGCACCTTCATAACCTAAACTTATGGAGGTGCGAATGTAGATTCATCTAATATCCATTGTGCACATTTAACTATCATACATGTATTTAAAGTACATTATTTTATAAGTAAAAATTTTAATTCATTAATATTAATATTGTAATTTGTTCGTGCAATGTGGGACAAAGTTGAAAAATTTGTGGATAAAAATCTCCCCGAAAAAGATGCAACTAGAGCATCAGAATTGTTTGACGAAAATCAGTTAAACATCATTCGCAATAGTGAGTTGAAGAAAAAAATAATGCTCATTGGATAGTTTTTTAAACGCAAAAACTAGTATATTAATGATTTACTTTTTTTTAGTATTTCGCTATGTGTTGCAAAATTTGTATTTGATCTTAGCAATAAAGTTTCATTCATTTTTATCATAAAAAATACTGTGCAGGAACGAATTATTAGCGTTTCAATGTAAAACTTTACTAATTAGCGTTTTATATGGTAAAAATTGCTTCGATATACAAGCAATTCGACATGCGAGCGTTGTTCCGGAATGAATTAAGATCGTAAAGCGGGCCTCTATTTAAATCTACAACGATACAATTAGAATTTTCTTCTTTAAAAAATAAATAATGAAAATATCTGATTCGTTTTTAGAAAATAAATTAATAACTCTAATAGACTATGTTGTCGAATACGTTCTAGAGATGTTACAATATTTGTGCATGTGCTAATATTCAATGTTGATGTACTGAAAAGATAAATTTGCTAACTTTTTGGTAACGGTATTTAATTAAATTGATCATAAATCGAAATCAGATATTCCTTGCTTGCTATCTGATTTTTACATAGTGAAAGGAAAAGCATGTATTCGTGTATCATCAGTTGAGATAAATGATAAGTTTTATTATGACTTTTTTAGTGAAAAATAAGTTAAAAAGTTAAAAAAATAAGTCAACCGAAAGTTTAATATAAATTAGTTACTTAGCTTTTATCAGTGACATACCTGGTCCATTGAGTGCCACTAAAGGTAATTGAAAGTCTCTGCAACAATCGCAAATGTTGTCGCTGCAAGAACAATATTTATTCGCTGCGTTTTGCACTTGATCTTGTGCCGCTTGACGCAATTGGATTTTCTTCTGAACCTTTCGATGTGTATTTCTCAAAGGTGTCGGATCTAGCATTAAAATTAATTTCGTTAATTAATGATCTGAATATCTTATTTACTACTTTTTATATCTAGACTGTAATGCGAACTACTTAAAATGCCATAAACATAGTCCGTTTAGATTTTTTGAATAAATGCATGAAAGGTAGAATGATTGATTTGGAATTGATTGATAGAATGAATCCATTACTATTTTGTTAATTGTACATCTGCAGTTCGATATATTAGTCAGTTTTCTGATTTAATTTCATTCAATTCTGGTTAATAAAATACAAAAATTTTGATAAATTTATAATCGTGACTTACAATAATAACGATTAGAATAATAATCATATCTTTATGTGAATACATCACAATAAATTTGACTCCAACAAGTTGACTTAATTCAATAGTACGGAAAAAGTAAAAGTATTTTTTACACAACTCTGTCAGTCAGTTTTTTGTTATCAGAACAAACGCTACTGCTTGTAGCTTTCAGAATATTGAATATTTATTATTTTCAAGTTCTTGTTGCATATAACATTCAGATGAAGTGACTAGATAGCATGAAAAGTCAATAGCACTATATTTACAGAATACATGTAAAAAAATAAATTTTAATTTAACCAAATCTTTATTCGACTAGCATTAGTCGGGAATCTTTCTGTCCAATCTTTTTGTTTACGATTAAATTTCTTTAGCAAATGTAGATATAATAAATTTTTCAAACAATAGTGCCTACATGTTCGCACTAATGCAAAACTTGAAATCTCAAATAATGTGGTAGTTGTAAGTATGATATTTGTAAGATACTCATAAAATTTATTTACGTATTTATTGTTTATTTCTGTAATTATTCTGTAATAGACATTGAAAAGCAATTTAATTAAAGATTTTGATAGTGACAGTGGGGGCGTGAAAGAGTCACGGTGAAGCGATAGCCCGTTATATAAGACATATGTTTTAAATAAATTGAAGCAAACCTCACTAAAGTGAATATTTTATAGAATGATATAATATGCGCATTAAAATATAAACAATATAAAAATTGAATAAAATATTTAGTTCCGAATAGTTAAGTTGGGTTTTACTGCTGACAATAAATTCCATGTGTTAATTATTAGTTTAAGTGATTTGATGCGGATTGACTGCAAAAAAGAATCAAAATTGCAATCTTTTTAAAACAAAACTATAAAAACCTTTAACAATAATAGTGAATAACATACCAACAGCTTTGGCTGCTGCATAAGCTAGCAAGCCAAAAAAGGCTAACAGCTCCACCACCGTTGAAATCTTCATAGTGGCGTCTTTATGTAACTACTAAGTAGTTTGCCTGAAATAAATATATATAATTAAAAAATGGGAATAATATTGTTTTCATTCGTAACATATATATGTATATATATATATATATATATATATATACACATATATATAAACCAATGCACATGTACATAGTCATATATCATTATAGATCTAATACTAATTATTATATAAAACGTAAACTATTGTTTTAATATAGAATACATATTTTGATTTTATTTATTTACTTGGTTATGTAACGATTTTAATATTACGTACTGTGCCAAATTAATTATACAGTACAAGTTGTACTATAATGTTATGTTTTTCGTTTTAACTTTCTTCGATAAATTAACTATTAATTTAAAGTTTTTTTTAATTTTTCATTACATCAAAATATTAAATGACTAATTGGTTTGCATTCATCACGATCTATCAAAACCTCCACTTAAATGATTAAAAACTACAACTTAATTAGTAAAACCGTGGTCTACCTTGTAATAAACTTCGTTTCTTTAATGGGTATATATATATATATATATATATATATATATATATATATATATAATATAATAAAATATCAAGTCGTTGGAAAACAAGTTCAATGTCTTAGAATAGAATTATGTCATTGTGATCACATTGGTCTTTCTGTGGCTCACGAAGCCACGGATTGGTAGCGGCTAAACTTTCTACTCCGGAGAAAACTGGTACAAGCAAACAACGATAATAGCCGGATTCCGGCATTGCATCACTATCCCATTCATGTACAATATTTATCATTGGAAATTATTTTATTCCCAGAAATTGTCATTACTCAGACTGGCCATTAATTGTTGCATCATTTTAATGTATAAAGTAAATGAAATATTTGATACAGAAACAGCAAATTTTTTTCTTTTTGGTACAAGATTTGATTAGACAATAGAAGAGCGTTAGCTTATAAACTTTAATTTAAAAATGAGTTAAAATAATTTATTAGTTTTATGAGAATTCGTATTATTTAGTGAAAGTGCTCTATTACTTTTATTACGTTATTTGTTCACGTGGCGTACTATTCAACGCAGTTTTATTATTTTGTCATTCATAAAATTTAATCATCAATGAAATGATAATATTTGTTCTAATTGAAATTTAGTTCAATAGATCGGTGTCGTTCATAAATAAATCAAGATATTTCAAAATATATTTTTTAAATTGAAAGTAAAAATTAAATTAAAACTTACACTGGTCACAAGAAACCGTCTCTCCGTTGCACTCTCTTTGTCACTGTTTTATTGCTATAAAGATTAAATGAAAACCACTGGTGAAATAGTAATTAATCACTTCGGCCGTCGCGTCACTGGCACTAGTCTCTATGTGAGCTTTCACAGAACAATAAATATAAATCTTCACATGCGGAGATCGCAAAGTCAACTGATATGACGAAGAATGGACGAATCGAGATGGTGCGCAAGAAGCGCTCGCGTTACCACAAAAGTGAAGGCGGGAGAGGTCCGTGCATCGCGGATGTCGGTCACGCGGCCCGAAATGATGAAAAGTTCGGCTCTGAGACCTCTACGACGCTGAAATGTATGAATATGAAAAAATCAGTCACTGAAAGTTGTGATAAAACTAGTTAAAAGTGGCATTTTGGCGTAAGACAAATTGCAAAAACTTCCCGATATATGTAATAATTAACTTCTAAATAAGTAGGGTAAGTTATAGTAATCGCAAAAAAATCGAAAATGAAAATTTTTATATATCTTTACGTTACAGAGGTTTCTGAACAACATATTGCATACCTTAGAAAAAATGAATATAAGCAAAAAAATGCCATTTGGTGGTCAAAAATGATCATTAGACATATGCACATCAAATTATCAGATATTTTATAGAGATTTCAGCAATAAGTATAAATTTTGTTTACATTCTTATGGATTCCGTACCAATATTTATCAGTTAGACGACGCGGCGCTTACGCGTTTCGATATTTTGTCTCAAAAATTTCAAAATAAAGAAAACATTTTTTTTCAGAAAGTCTTTTTTTTTAAAAAAAGTAACTTTTTGTCAAAAATTTATAGTTTCTCAAAAATCTATTTTTTTCAAAAATGTTAATCTTTAAAAAGAAATTTTCGGTACGGGAAGTTCTAGCAATTTGCCTTAAGGCACGATGCCATACGCCTCACTAGTTCACTTAATCAACCGAAATTGAGATTTAGATATTTAGATAGAATTTTTAACCACTTAACGGTCACGCACGAACACTGCTCGCGCCTAGATGTCGTATCCTAGCGGGCTAACCCGAGTACTGCTCGCCAAAGTTAATGTTTATGTTTTATGCGATAAAAGGCTTACGATGGCCCCTTGTTGGGATATGTTTAGTTTAGATGTGATTTATTTTGAAAATAAAGTTTTCGTTTTCACTTAAATCTAAACATTGCGATATCCAATTGAAATCTTTCAAACACATTTAAATTATCTGTAATCATATTAATTATAGTGCATGTGCTATAATAAAATACTAGCACAATTGTGTAAATCATGTACGTAGTATTTGATATTATTTAATCATTTGAATTAACCCCTTAACTTGAAAAGACGAGCAGAGCCCGCGTGCGATTTCTAGGCCAAACATAAATATTACGGGCATAGCCCGCGTACGATAATCGGGCAAGAAGCAAGTATTACGCATTACGGACATAGCCCGGTACGGCAATCACAAGTATCACAAAATATTTATTTATACAAAACTATAAAACACAAAATTATTTTTATTTTTGTGAAAATCTGTACACTATGTGGGAAAATAATCACAAACGCTGCGCCAGCTTGTACAACTTTGGCCCAACATTTTCGAATATAAATTGCAAGTTTTAATGGGTTAATTGTAACATTTTTCGCACAACTAGAGAAATTTTGTAGACTGGTCATTAGATGACACAGGTATAAAGTATTTATTCAGATAACTATTAATTAATTTCCAAAAAAAAGTTCAACAGTTATGTACGAAGAAACGGCCCGGCTGATCTATGCCAAAAAATCAGCACGATTTCCAACCAATATTTTTCGAATGGATTAATTTTTAAAATTGATTCAAGATTGTGGGCTAAAACGTGGACGATTTTTTTTACTTTTGAGCTAGTTACAAAGAAACTGCTTGGCCGATTATTATGGAAAACTAATCAACGCGAGTTCTCATTGAGTTACATCGAATATCTTTTAAATCGGTTTAGCCATTTTTGAGAAAATGTCGACAAAAGGTAAATAATCAGCTCACAAAATTAGCGAATCCGATTTTGAAGAAGTTCATAAACACATTATAGTATTCGAAATTGTAAGATTAAATCATTTATCACAGCGTTCATTCGTTTTATGCATCACGACAAAGATTTCGCTTTTTTACTGGCCAGACACATGATATTTTAATTATGATCTACACCGTTCTGGATTTTTCAACTTACCTTTGCGTTGATATATATATATATATATATATATATATATATATATATTTGTCAATTAGTTTCCTGATAGATAATTTGGGCTCAACAAAGTTGTAGCAACGAAAGTGACATCCATATAAAAATAACTATTGATGGAGTAACATTATATTATCGAATTTTTATTACTCTTAATCTTACGTTACGTTAATTTCCAATTACATGTAGCGACGCTTTTCAAATATATAATACATAATACTGAACTTATAAAAAAATATAAAAAACCGACTTTTAAAAAACATCGAAACAAATGAATAGAATTGATTGTCGTTTCTTTCTAATTGTCATCAGTATTTTAATACGATGCCGCTGACAAAGGAATAATTGTGGAAAAAAATACCGGAAATGATGCTATAAAAAGTAGAAATATTAAACTCTTTAACAAAAGTATGTCCCAGAATATAATCTTATTTTTTTTATTCATTGCCTAGAAAAATCTCTAGAGAGAATTAGATCAATTGTTCTTTTTATGACTGAACATAGAAAATTAGCATAGCAATTGGTTGCCCTGGTACCTATATATACATATAGGTATATATAGGTGTGTGTGTGTATATACACTATTTTTTTTTTTTTTTATTTTTATTTTTATTTTATTTATTATTTTTTTATTATTTTTACATAAATATTTTTATTTTACATAAATAATTATATACATTCTATTTTACAATATTTTATACATAAGTGGATTTATATAACTATTTTTCAAAAAATATTCTTTCCTTTTTTCTCTTAAATTTCTATCAATGTGTGTTATTTCTTCAAAACCATGATATAAATTATATAAGATTCCAGAGAGAAGCCAAATTTTAACATCTTTTTCTTCTTTTGATTTATATTGTATATCTATTTTGATAAGTTTATCGTCATCTTCAGTTACATCTATTTTGGAGATTTTTAATTCTGTTTTCATCCAATTCCATATAATTTTCTTTTTACCACATTCAGTTAAATAGTGTAAGGCATTTTCCTCCTTATTGCATTTTTCACATTTTTCTGTGCTGCTCATTTTTATTCTAAAAAGTTTTGTGTTCATTGCAATGCATTCATTTACTATCAAATAATTTGTTGTTTTCCATTCTGAAGGAATATTTTTGTTTTCTATATTCCTCCATATGTTTTTCCAATTATGGTGTGTTTTTTTCCATTATTTTAGGAGTGAAATTTTCCAGTAATTTATAATTGTTCGGCCTCGTAACATTTTTGAGAATTATTTTAATCAAAATGTCGAAGTGATACTTGAATTATTTATTGTGAAAATACTTGAATTATTTATTGTGTACATTTTAACATTATATTCATCATTCAGCAAATTCTAAAAAAATGTACAATTTAAACATTTTACAAAAAAATACCAGGCAACAAAAAAAGAAAATATCAACAAAAATACACATTGTTTTCTGATAAACTAAGAATACAAAAAAACTACACATTTTTTTATTTTATTTTTATTTCAAATAAATTAGTAATTTCCGAGATATGATATGTATTAGTGATTTCCGAGATACATTACGATTTTTA